CTTTTTTTATGTGCTTTTTGGCCATTTTTTTTTTTTTTTTTTTTTTTTGGTGAAATATTGGTTCACATCTTTTACCTATTGGTTTATTTTTAATTATGTGTTTTAAAAATACATCTATTTCTGAAACTAACACAATATTGTAAATCAACTGTACTTCAATAAAAATTTTTAAATTAAAAAAATATATATTTTAGTTGTGGTAAAATGTACATAACATGAAATTTACCCTTTAAAACATTATTGATTTATTTTTTAAATTATTTTATTTTATTTATTTATTTTGGCTGTGCCATGCAGCTTGTGGGATCTCAGATCCTGGAGCAGGGATTGAACCCAGGCCATGGCAGTGAAAGCCTGGAATCCTAACCACTAGGCCACCAGAGAGAAATCCCTTTTTCTTAAAATTCTTTTTAAAAAAATTATTTATTTTAATTAATTTTTTTATTAAAAATTTTTTTTTAAACCTAGGGAAACTTTCAGAAGAACTAGATGCCAGAAAACCTGGCCTGGTGGTCAGGCTTTTCCTCTGACCCACAGAGTGCCCTGGGCCTTGCCTACAAAAATACTCACAAAGATAGCTGTTGATGTTGTTCCAGTGCTTTCTACTTCCCCTTCACCATGTCCTTCCAGCTAAAAGTTAGCCGGTTATGCAGGTAGTCCAAATACTGTCATTACTGCTATCTGAATTTTATTGTATGCTTATTCCATGCCCCACACTGAACATAGGAATCCTGTGAGGCTAATAGTTATTCCCTTTTTACAGATGAGCAAGCTGAGGCACAGGGTGGTTAAGTAACTTGACCAGGGTCACTCACACTAGGAATTCTGCACTGTTTCTGTTTGGTGTGATTTTTGATTCATTGACTCCTGTGGTCAGGCCTGTGCTGGGCACTCTTAGTACATGGGGTGGTTAAGATGGAGATGAGCAAGCAGGCACACTAGTCAGAGAAACAGACAGTAAAATAATAAAAATAATTCATTCTTGTACAGAATCTTAGGGGCTGGGTTAAATGCCTTGCACAAAATATTTGAATAAGATGTAGGGTAGCCAGGTTTAACAAATCAAAATACTGGACACCCAATAGAATTTCAGATAAACAACAAATAATTTTTTAGTATAAAAATATTTAGGGCTCCCCGGTGGTGCAGTGGTTAAGAATCCGCCTGCCAATGCAGGGGACGGGTTCAAGCACTGGTGCGGGAAGATCCCACATGCCATGGAGCAACTAAACCCGTGTGCCACAACTACTGAGCCTGCGCTCTGGATCCCGCAAGCCACAACTACTGAGCCTGCATGCTGCAACTACTGAAGCCCGCGTGCCTAGAGCTCGTCCTCTGCAACAAGAGAAGCCACTGCAATGAGAAGCCCATGCACCGGAACAAAGAGTAGCCCCCACTCGCCGCAACTAGAGAAAGCTGCACACAGCAACGAAGAACCAAAGCAGCCAAAAATAAATAAATAAAATAAATAAATTTGGAACATTACCTTTTAGGATAAAAATATTTGGGTCATACTTATATTTTTTAAATTATTTGCTATTTATCTGAAATTCAAATAACTGGGTGTCCTGTATTTAGTTTGGCAATCCCAATCAGGTTGTTTTCCAAGTGGACAGAGTGGGGGAAAAAAAAGGCTTTTTGGGATCTCACAGTAAATTTTTAAAAATAAAAGTAACAATGGCCTTGCTAAAACATTCAAACAGTATGGAGCTGAGGCATGGTTCTGCATCTTTTCTGCCTCACGGATCATTATGCTGGAGACATTGTTATGCACACAGGTCTTCCCCCATTCCTTTTAACAGCTGCATAGTATTCCATTGTCTGCCTGTGGTCATCTGGACTTCATTGAGCCTGTATGGATGGGATCAGGATTCTGATGAGTACAAACAATGCTGCCAAGACATCCCTTGAACATACATCTCTATGGGCGTTGTAGGGAA